TATAGGGGACCTGGGAAGTGACACCATTATAGGAAATGTCCCCGGCCTGGATGAGCAAGGAGGGGAGATGTCTTGCTGCTGCTGCTGCTGTCCTGGCCACCGAAGCCGCAGGGTGGTCTCATGGGTCAGTGCCTACTGACTCCAGTCGGGATGAAACCCAGTTCCTGGCTCCCAGGCTGCCAGGCTCGCCACCGGGGAGGCGCCTGGCAGATGAACCCGGGTCTGGAGTGTGGGGCGGGCAGGTCGGTGGATCCCCTCCAGGCTGACCCCGGGATGGCCGCCTGGCTCCAGCCCGACTCTCATCGTCCCAGGCTGCGCCTGCCTCGAGCCGCCCGCCCATTCCTCATGTGCAAAGAATTTCCGTGCCGCCAACGCCGCTGCAGCTGGAACATTTCTCAGATGGATCGTTTGCAGGAGCTGCGTCCCAGGCTCCTGTTGCAGACGTGGGCTTGCATCCCGCCCCATCCCCTGCCCTGGCTCCACTTCCTCTGGAGAGAAGATAAGGGGCTGCTGGCACCTGGTGGGCTGGCGAACCCGCCTAGCAGGCAGACAGGGAGGCGCCAGACCCTGGGGCAGCTCCCCTTTCTCCTCTTCCCTCTGGGGTGCATCTAAGCCTGGGGGTGCCTGAACTTAGGGGTTCTCTCCAGCCAGCCCAGGGGCGACGTGCTCGGAGGGGCGACTGGCACACAGCTGCGCTCTTTCCTGGGGGGCTGCTGGAGCTGGGCACTGCCAAGGGGAGCATGTGTGTTCTCTCCTGACTCCTCCACCAAGTCACTGGCAGGCCAGGCCTGGGGCGGGCCCTGGGCTGAGTGCTCGGAGGAGAGTGAGCGCCGGGCAGACATGGAAACACAGGCGATGCAGGAGCTCCGCGGGGTCGGCCCGTGCGGACAGATCCTGGGAGTTCCGACTGCGGCTAAAGAGAGGCCACCGATCCCGGGCACCTCTGGGCACAGCGGTGTGCCCTGCCTGAGACTCCTTCTGTCTGAGAGCATCGAGACCAGATGCTGCAAATAGGCAATGGCGGGGGCTTGCCCCACCGTGTATTAAAAAAGGGGGAAATTTTATATAAAAATGCAGATTTCTCTTCTCTTGGAAAAAAGAAATCACAGCCTCCTGTATGACACAGGGCACATCTCTGCCCGGCCCGAGTTCCTCCTTTAGAACGGGCAGGGACACTCCTGGTTGCCAGAGACCACACCCCTCCTGACTGTCACCATTCTCTGCACGCGGCCCACTCCCGACTCAGATATTTCATTGAAAGGCCAGACTCCCACACGGAGGTCGCCGGGTGCAGGAGGCCACTTGAGCTGGGCTCAGGAGGCGGAGCCCTCATCACGGACTCTGACTGATTTCAGCGAGAGCCTGTGCCTCCCAAGCCGGCCTCTCCATCCACAGGGGGCTGGTGTCTGTGTCACGGGCGTTCTGAAGCTTGAGTCACAGATGCTCACAATCGAAGGTGGGCCAAAGCCAGCACCTGCACTGGCAGGTCCCTCTGTGCACCCGACTCCCACGGCGATGCGAGAGTTTGTGCCCACGCGTGCTGGTTTCCTGTGTCTCCGCTGCTGAAGGAACCCATAAAATACACACCCCTTTGAGAGTGGCTAGACTAGTTGTAACTTCAGGTCTTTACGTGTTTTCTCAATCAGCATATGCTACAGAGAGGGGTTCATGATACCTTTGACATCAACAGGCAATCCTGAAGTTGGGAGGTTTGGGTGACTTGAAGAGCCCCTGGACTTGAGGGGCTGTGTTTAGCCTCTTCTCCATGGGGACAGACCTCAGGATTACCCTCTTTGAGCCTTAAAAGGTTTAGACAAATGGGAGACTTGGAGCAGGTTTCTTGAAGGATGAGGTTTCATAGGCATTTCTTGAAAAGGCCTCTGGGGTTAAAAGAGTGAGGTTGAAACGAAGTGAAGTAGGCTTAAAAAGATGACATTTGGAGGACTTTCTACCCTCATCTTTTGTTTGCAATGAGCAGCGTGATGGGACTGGGAGAAAGCTGGCATTCAGTGTTTTCCAGATGTATTGGCCAGGGAATCCTCTTTTAAGAGGCATTTCCCAGAACTAATGTCTCCCAAATACTCTTTAAGCAATGCTAGACTAAGCAATATGACACGTACAGCACTTTTGTTATGCATTTGTCATTTCCATGCCTGTCACACCCTCTGCCCTGCTCCCTGCTGTCTGGAGGGGAGGTGTCTTGTTTTTCTCCGTGGGTCTGTCAGGGGAGAGGTGCTCACATACAGCATACAGAGTAAGGAGCAGTCCCACAGAGACCTTTTCTGGACAAGGAGGTCATGCCTTAGAGCAGGACAGTGGAAGGAATGGAGCCTCCCCACCTCTGGTACCTTTTCTCGGAAGGGCAGGGCCTGCTCACTGGCCAAAGGGGGATTAATATCCTGGGCCTCCTGAGTTTTTCCACAAGTAGCCTCTTAGAGCTCCCTCTGGTTTCTCTCCAAAGGCTGTTCACACTTTCCCCACTTACGGGGCTGATAAGGCATGCAGCTGACAACTGGCAGCATTTGCTCCGTTGGTCCAGGGAGGAAACTATTAACCGTGGAGATAAGCCGGTGAAGTCAGGGCTAGTCCCCCTGCTTGGACAAGGAGCAGCAAAGGCCCTGCCGAAGACTGCACAGAGTGGAGGGCTGGGGCGGGGTGTTTGCCCAGCCCTACTGTGGCATTTTCCTCTGTTGGTTTTGCCCGGGTCTGATAACCATGCTTGCTCTGGCCAGAGCCTTCTCATGGCTTATCTGGCCGAGTAATCCTCTGGCCTTGGCTGGAGAACACCAGCGCCTCCCTCCCTTCCCCCTTCCTGGCCCCCATGGGCAGTTGGGGATAGAGTGGAGGGAGACAGAGTGTGGAATAAATTCCCCTCTTCCTCTTGTCACCTTTCTCAACTCAGCTTAGGGCCACAGGGGACGAGGAAGCCCCTTTGGACGGGGATATCTTGCCTGAGGGTACAGGTCCTGTCCACACTGAGCCCCTAGCCCCAGATCCCCATGTACTACAACCTGTGCCTACAAACCATTTCCAATGGTTCCAAGCTTCAGACTTGGGCCTGGAGCTGTTTTGCTTCAGGGAGGGGTCAGCCTGTCTGGGGGTACAGAAAGACAAGGAATGGCTCCTGATATTACAGGTTGAGAAGCTGAGTCCAAAGAGGAGGTGAACTGGCTCAAGTGTGTGCAAGGAGGCACAGCTGTCTCCAGCTTCCTGACCCCAGCCCCGAGCTCTGTCCCCGACCACTTGAGGCCTTGCAGGGGGCGTGCCAGGGTCAGCCCGGCCGGGCTCGCCTTTCCTAGGACTGAGTGTTGTGGGCCAATATCGCAGCCTTGGAAGAAGCAAACCTGCGGCCACCCAGCCCTGCTCCACAGACACTGTCCTCTCCTCCATGGCGGCCCTGAGCTGCGCTGATCGTGGCCACTGACCAGCTGACCAGGAGATCTCGGGGTCATTAGGAAGTGAGTCTGGGACCCCAGCCCACCGGGTTTTGAGCACATGTGCGTTGTTTCCAGTCTCAGGAAGAAGCCACCGGGACAAAGTCCAACGCTTCCTCATCTCGTTTGTCCAGGGCAAGTCAGGCACCTGCGAGCCTCAGTGTCCTCATTTCTGAAGTGGGGGCGATAGGCCCGACCGCTCAGGAAGCTGGGGGACAGAGGGAGCTCATCCTGGCCTGTTCCGGCTCTCACCTCCATTGTCGTCTTCGTCATCATCATCACCATCATCATCATCATCATCATCATCATCATCATCATCATCGAGCACTGATAGCCGGGGGGGCACAGCGCTGTCAGTCCTGGAAACCCTGCCTTGTTCCCCGGTTATAGCTGGAGGCCAGGGCCCCCAGGCCCATCTGACCCCCACCCCAAAGCTTCTGTTGGCCTCACAGAGGAGAGGACGTTTGGGCAGGGCTTTGAGATATGGGTAGGAGTGGCTGGATGGGGTGAGCAGGAAGGGCAGAGGGACCGAGGGGGTGGTGAGGAGGGTCTTGAGGCACCTGAACCACTGCTCTGGGCGGCGGGAGGGACCTTGGGGGTTAGGTGTGCCCCGCGGAGGAGCTGGGATTTTCCTGGAGGATAGCAGGAGCCAACACACACCCTCCTTGGGATCTCCTTTCGGCTTTTCTTTCTGAATTACCAAAGTAAGTCAAGTCCACACCGCAGTTTAGCCATCACAGGCCCTGGAAACCTCGCATCTGCCCTCCCTCCCGGCTCACTCGGCCCTTCGCACAAGAACACAGCGTCAGCCCATGGAAAGGTGCCCATTGGCTTGCGGTTGGTTTTAGCTTCACCCTGAATGATGCGTGTGGAACCCCTCTCCGTGAGCATTTGTTCTCAACAGCTGTGGGTGTTCTGAGTGGGGCACGGGATGGGGGGGGGGGCAGTCCCTGGAGGCGGGCTTTCAGGGTGTCCAGGCTTATCGCTTGGCCCACATACACCGCTGTGTGGAGCGGCAGCTGGCACAAACTGGGACCCTCCACGAACTCCCGGAGCGGGGCTTGCTGGGGACAGCGCGGAGCCACGTTACTTTGATAAGAGCTGCCAGGCCCCTTCCAGAGGCGCGCAGGGTGTGGCAGCCTGGCTCTGGGGTTGACTCCTCCCCTCACTGCCCAAGGCTCTCAGTGTAAATCCCTGGCCACCAGGTGGGTGAGGATGTGCACTTCCGACCAGTGGGCGGCGGGTGCCCTCTGGTGGCTGTAGGGGGGAGGCGGAGCCCAGCTCCAGGGCTTAGGCCTGAGCGCAAAGTGCAGAGCCTCCTCACCAGGCCACACGCCCCAGCGCTGGCTCAAAGCCACATGGCTTTGCAAAGTGTGTTCAGAAAATAGATGACCCGCAGTTCTCATTTCCTGATGCCAAGTTGAATGCAGGCAAAACTGCAGTACGCTGAGAAAGGACGGGAAGCGGTGGCTGCAGCCGCCTGAGGGAGAGGGCCTGGCTGCCTCCCCCTTCCTGGGGTGGGGGCTGGGAGACGGTGAGGCCGCCCTGGGGGCCTCCGTGAAGGACCCAAGGGGGCTCTCTGGGCGGGGTGCCCCAGCCCTCTGGGCGGACTGGGCTGAGTCCCCCACCTCCCTCCCCAAGGTGTGTGTCTGTGCTGCACCTGGAGGGACACTGGGCAGGTGAGCTGGCGGCGGCTGCCTTGACGCCTGGCAGGCTGCACAGGAACTTCTTGGCATAGCACAGTGGTTCTCAACCTGCTGGCCCTTTAAAGACAGTTCCTCATGCTGTGACCCAACCATACAATTATTTTCGTTGCTACTTCATAACTGTAATGTTGCTACTGTTATGAATCGTAATGTAAATATCTGATATGCAGGATGGTCTTAGGCGACCCCTGTGAAAGGGTCGTTCGACCGCCAAAGGGGTCATGACCCACAGGTTGAGAACCGCTGGCATAGCAGTTCCCAGGCCAAGCCGCTGATTCGTGTCCACCCTCCACACAGACTGGCCATGACTCCTGTCGTCAGCAAACTCCCGGCCCAGGGTCACCCCTGAAGCACGACTCTCCTTCTGCTGGCCACGGTGTGCCTGAGACGGGGCTGGACTGCCGGCATTCTCAGGGGGGCGCTGGGAGCCCAGACAGGACTTGGGGGAGCTGTGGGACATGGGAGTGCCCTGTGCTTTCTTCCTCTGCCCCTCCACCCCCACCCCTCCTGTCCCTTCCTCTCTCCAGGCCTCAGTTTCCCCATCTGTCCAATGCCTGGGAGGGCGGGCAGACCCCAGCCGATGACTGACGGGGCCATGCATGCGGGCAGGGCTCTCCGGGGAATGCGGCAGCACAGACGGCTCGCCCTGTCTGGGCCCCTGCGGCTGGTCTCCCAGACTTTCAAGAGAAACCGGAAGTCCAGGTCTTGATTTTTTAAGTTGGCAACTCATTAACATAATTTTAAAACACCATGTACACTAAGCCAAACATGTGAGGAAGGGAATCAGTGCGGGTTCCTAAATGAACATCTTACGTCAGGGTGGCAGGTTCTGCCCCCCCCCCCCCCCTATACAATACGCCTTAGAAAACCCATCGCTGACTCGTTCCCTCGGTTTTCCCCGATGTCCTTTTTCTGTTCCAGGATCCGACATGACATCCGGTCGTCACGCCTCCTTTGGGCTGTGACAGTGTCCCAGGCTTCCCTGGTCTCTGAGGACCTTGACAGTTGTGGGAGGGGCTGGTAACTTGCTTATGGTGATGGGTCTTTGTGGGGACCACAGAGAGAGGTGCCCTTCTCAGCCCAACACGTCAAGGCCCCCACTGTCCACAGGGCTCATCGCTGTGGTGCTGACCTCAACCCCGGCTTCTCCACGGCAACTTCCCCGCCCCCATCGACCTGTATTCCAGAGAGGGGCTGCTCTGCAGGGCCCTCCTGGGGGAGGAGGGGGTCCCTGGCAGCCTCAGGAGCAATGCCACTAACACTTACTGAGAGGTTCCATGTATGGCCTCTGGTCACCTTTGAACCCGGGGAAAATCAATAAAAGTATATTTTTAAAAAAACACCCAACGAAGGCTCCAGGCCATGGAAGGCCTCATGTTCATGGGCTGGGGTTCAGTTGGGTCACTGTGCTGGCCCAGCCCTGGATGGTGCGTTCTGGCGTCTATGGGAACCACTGGATGGACGGTGGAGGAGAGGGCACATCCATGGCACAAGCATTAAGCTGATGGACAGGTTCTCAGCCAATCAGTGGAGAAGCCAGTGTCTGAATGGAAGAGGCGGAGAATGAATCCAGTAGGAGCGTGGGCTCCAGCTGGGTGGGAGCCCGAGGCACTGCAGGCCAAGGATGCTGTGTGTCAGGGGAGGGCGCTGTGCTTTAGACACCAGGTGGAGGGGAGGCCACAGACGCTTACGCAGCCAGAGCTGAAGTTCACATCAGAGACGGAAGACCTGCAGTGTGGACACGGCCGGTGCGAGCCCTGATGCTTGGCCGGTCTTCCTCTGCCCTTGTCAGAAGTCACCAGCCAATCCCCGCTCTTACTGCCCCACCCAGATGCAGCCTCAGAACCCTTGCGGACACTGTCGGTCAGCAAGCCTAGGGGCGGTGAGTGTGGGCATGGCTGGTAGCCGACGCCCAGCCCTCCATCAGCCCAAAGGCAACTCTGAGTGGGGTCCTCACCTGCCCCGCTCCACCTGCCCCTGGGTTCTGCGTTTCCCATACGTGTGGCCGTGAAGGAAGTCTGGGAACATTGACTTGTGTCCTCTGCCTGGGGCCTCCCACTGCTGGGCACCTCCCTGCTCTTGGCCTGGTGGGAAGGCCTTGTGTGAGACACTACCCTCGTGCAGGGCTGATGGGCACCTGTGAGTGGCCACGTGGGAGAGACAAGAGTTGGCCCTGTGGGGTTGGGTGGGTGGTGGGGCCGAAGCAGCTTGGGCAGGCACGGAGCTTGGACATGACTCCTGGAGCCTGGCAGGCGGGGCGAGGGGCGGGGGGAGGGGGTGCTGCCATGGACGGGCACAGGCAGACCCTAGAAAGATAGAGCAGGCTGGCATAATTCTTACTAAATTGTAAATGACTTCTACTATCCTGTTCCCTCAGGAAAGGGCTGCTGGGGAAGGAGCGGAAGACTGGGAGGGAGAACAGAGAGGCTATAGGGAGGCATCTATGGGATGCCTCCCAAAGGCCTGTAAAGTGACACCACTGCCTCCTCCTCATGCCCCTTCCCCCCAGCTAAGGGGCTAGTGTGGGTCCCGGGCCATTGGTGAGGCATCCCAGGACCTGGTGCTGCCCTGCCCCCATCCTCCCGGCAACCTTGGGCACATTGTTTCCCTCCCTAGTGGTGCTGTGCCATCCCCTGTGAAATGTGGGGGCTCCCCTGCCCTACCCTAGCTGTCTCTGAGCTCCAACCAGGCCCAGCCTGGCTGACACCCCCGGTCTGCTCTTGGGGGCCATGGTGGGCGCACGGTCGCGTGCTGTCCGAGGATGCTGAGGCGCCAGGCTAAGCTATGGCAGCCATCTGCACGCGGCCTGCGCCCCGTCACAGGAGTTTCGGAATTTTAATTAGACTGCAGCGGGGCAGGCTGGCACTCATCCGCACGGCCACCCTCAGGTGCCCACCAGCCCTGCAGCGTCCTCCCGTCCTTCGCACACACGCCCAGCCTCCCGAAGCTTACATCTCCTTTCTTTCTCTTTCTTCTCACCCCCTTTGGCTCTCTCTGTGTCCCCCCTTCTTTGCTTGTCACCTCTCCCCTTGCTCTTCCATCCAAGCATGGTCCCTGGCCCCCTCCGTGCAGTCCAGCCCAAACACACCCCTTCCAGGCAGGAGGTGTGGGTGCAGCTGGGTGCGCTCAGGGCTCCTGGAGAGCACAGTCACCCCTGGGACCACGCGGCCGTGGCCTCAGGTCCTCGGGGCTCACTGGGCCCTCCACAAGCAGCCAGTGGCATGCCTTGAGGAGGGGGTGGGCACTGCCAGGATGGCTGCCCTGCCCTCTTGACCAGTGGGCGTGAGGGCTCCTGGGAGTATGGAGGTGACTTCATGGTGGTGGCTCTGGGACAGGTGGGGGTGTGGGCCAGCAATAGGGTGAGGTGCACGTTGTGGACACCAGATCCCACCTGCATTGTTGCATGGCCTGGTCCCTGCATCTGATCAGCAAAGAAATGGAGCCCTCAGTGCGAGAGGCACAGAGTCACTTCTCCTGCGGAAGAGCCGCTGCGAGCACAACGCTGGTTCCAGGGAGTGGGCTGAGGGCTGGTCCTGGAGACACTACCCCCCCTGGAGGAACCCCAGGGGCGAGGGGCACTTCCCAAGCACTCCATCCATGCAGGATGACAGTGTCATAGCAGACCCGAGGAGCTAGCACCTTGGGGTAGGGGCTCCTGAGGCTGGGCCCTCAGCTTACTCTGTCCCAGTCCAACCAGGCCGAGTCAGGGGCTAGAGTGGTCTGGGAGCCAGATGGACTTAGAGTCAGAGGTCAGGCCCACCGTGCCTGGGTAGCAACCTCCCTATAGCCTCTCTGTTCTCCCTCCCAGTCTTCCACTCCTTCCCCAGCAGCCCTTTCCTGAGGGAACAGGTTAGTAGAAGTCATTTACACTTAGTAAGAACTATGCCAGCCTGCTCTATCTTTCTAGGGTCTGCCTGTGCCCGTGGGCTTCCGCCTGGCTGCCTGCAGGGAATGCCATTACTCCCTAGTTTAAGGATGAGGAAACCGATAAATGACCCAGATAAATGACTTGCCCGGAGTCTTGCTTCCAGTGTGGTGGGCTCCGACCTTCCCCAGGAGGATCTGAAGGACCTCTGACCACCACGATGGTGATGGTAGTTTCTTGGTGGGAAGGCTACAGTCCACCTCAGGGTGACATGAAGGCTTGGCTCCGGTGGGCATTGCTCACAACAGGGGCAAGTGTTTCCGGCTTTTTCAGGGGCCTAGAAACTGCCTCTGGGCCTGTAGGTGGGCCGGGGCCAGCTCGGGCTGCAGGCCTGGCTTAACTTCCTGTGCAGGTGCTGACCCAGGAAGGGGCAGGCTGTCCTGGCGGCCACACCCCTAGCCCCATGCAAGCCGAGCCTGGGCGTTCTCAGCGGCACTGAGGCTCCTGTTGTTCCTGCCAAGCGCGTGGCGGGACTACCTGGGCCCCACTGTGGGGCATGTAGGGGTGTCCAGGAACCTTGGGGCTGCCTTCTGCCCCAGGCCCGGAGCCTCCCATGCAGCCCCTCCCCTGCACCCGGCTCAGATATCCTGTCACCTCCCTGCACCTGTCCATTCCCAGCCTTTAAATAACAGTGACGAGCCATCTTGGCTCAGTGCATAGTACGTTGGCCTGCAGACTGAAGGGTCCCAGGTTTGATTCCGGTCAAGGGTACTTCCCAGGTTGCGGGCTGGATCCCCAGTGTGGGATGTGCAGGAGGCAGCCAATCAATGATTCTCTCTCATCATTGATGTTTCTTTCTCTCTCTCCCTCTCCCTTCCTCTCTGAAATCAATAAAAATATTTTTTAAAAAATAGCAGTGAGGAGAGGCTCAGCTCCTCCCTCCCCTGTGGGGCCAGCGCCCTTCCCACTGCCTGGGCAGACTGGCCGGCCCCAGGGCCCAACAGGAAA